ATTCATTTACCTTGGGATTCATCTAGACGTGCTTCCCTTTGGGAGTGGGCAAGCCTTTCAACAATAGGCGAATATTATATTTTAATATAACTGTTCAATATTAAGAGGGAGTAGATTGGTGGTGCCAATGGCGGCGGCGCGGGCCATAGTCTGTGATCTCGTCACTATTCTTCTAGTTGACGATGGGGTTTCCATTGAGAGGGAGAGAGGGAGATTTTAGAGCACCTCCAATGCTTAATGCTTTAATATTGTTATTGGTAAAATTTTGACAAATATCAAAATATTAAATATATTGTGAACCATATAGGGCAAATATTGAGTTCACAACTATTAAACTAAAAAATCATCTCCAACGCACTAATTACAATATTATCTACTTACCAAATATTAAAATTTTAATATAAATTAATAAAATTAATTAAATAATCAAATAATTTAAAAATGGTAATAATAATTCTTTCTATTCTTTTCATTGGTTAGATAGAGTGTGGAGGAGAATGTGGATGGACTACATTCCTTTACATTGTCGACATTAATTATGTCCATATCACCACAACATTTATAATCACATTATATATTGGAGAATTGAAACTTGTTATATTAATAAATGTGTTGATGTGGAATGTAATTTACCACTACAACATTGAGCATTGGAGATGCTCTTAGGTATTATGTTATGATCGTCGGTGATAGTTGAGAGAGAGAGTAAATAAATAAAGTCTAATATATATCTTTGTACCAATAAAAAAGTCTAATATATATCTATATTTAATTTCATATAAATTTTTGCTAATCTTATATACATTCTAAAATCATGTCTAGAATACTTAAATCATATGTCTAGAATATAAAAATAGTATATATTAAGATAACATTGATAATATGAATCCTAGCCACTGATAACTATACTGTAAATTAATATATATACTCTAGTTTAAAACTAAATAACACGTATTTATATATTATACAAAAAATTATTAATAAAAAATTCTAATAATATCATGTTATTGTCATATTTTTCGTAATATATATTTTATCACAATAATATAATGAAATACATAAAAAATAAATATAAGATTTTTGCTTCACATGCAGATTCTTGGAGATATCCCGGATTCTTTGAGACAGCTCCTACGACAATTGATAGGCCCGTTAATCATACTTTAATAGATGTCTTCCAAGTAATAACATAGTTTGTATCCTAATATAATGTACTTGATGTTTGTGGTATTGGTTTTTGTATTAGTTTGCATTTTAATATAATATACTTAATGCTTGGTTTGTTGTATTAGTTTGCATTTTAATATAATATACTTAATACTGTGAGGTTGGTTTTTGTATTTATTTATATTAGCATAATTTTTCAGCCTGTATATAATCCTCTATGTCTTAACGGTCTCTCATTGCTTTGAAAAATAATATCATAGTTCGCTCGATTAGATACGAGTTTATCGCGCATGAGACGTTCAGAAAGAGGAAGACTTAGTTTATTAAGGAAACTTAATGAACTAAGAACTTTGTGCGGCGTTGAAGCATGTGGAGTAATCGTTAATGGCGAGGGGGCCCAGTAAAAAACATGGCCTAACCTAAATGAAGCAACCTGATCGAATAACCCAAAAGTTCCTAAATTTGCCATCTTTATCCCATAGGAACCATAGGGTCGACCAGATTGAATTTCTTTAATTGGCATAATTTGTCTACGATGATATCCAAGAATATTGATAAAGAGACCCATAAAGTTCATTCCCTAGAGAAGGAGAAGGAGGCACACTTGGCCAAAGAAGAGGTGAATGTGCGTAATCGACAGGAATTGTGTTATATGCTTTCGTTTACTGGACAGAAAGATTGGAATGGTTGAATGCAGGATTGCCGAGCTCGAGCCTTCTAGCTCAAAGATGGTTTGTGATGCAGAAAAGAGGGATTAATGTATCTCATCATGGGAAGTGAAAACAACACATTTGAAGGTTTTTAGGGGAATAAATTACATTTTTATTAAGCATTATATAATTGAACAGCTTATTTCATGCTCTTTCACATATATGTAATATCTTTTGTTGACTTGAGTACTTTGTTTTTATTTGATGGGGCAATAATTTATTTATTTATATTGGGTTTGTGCTGGTGTGTGAGAGTAATTTGTGAGAAATTGGTTTGGCTAGATGATGATTTCTATTTCACAGTAATAAGTGATGTTTTGTTCTGTGGTGTTGTGTTGGAAATCTCATTCTCATAGTTTATTGAGTCCATAGTTTGGGTTTCTTAGAGTCTGTTGCACTAGCAGCACTTTCCACCTTCAGTTCAGCCAAGTACCAATATAACAATAGAAATAAAAATGTCAAATTCTTATGACTCAATTCTGCTATAGAAATAGAATAGATATAAAAATGTATTCTTAAGTTTCTGTGATAGAAATTGAGATCCCCTATTCTTAAGCTCAATTAGTTGTGCAATAAAAAAATTCATATTTCAGTTCTCTAATAGAACTTAATAATTCTTCGATAAAAATAGATCAAATAAATTTGACACTCAATCCTACAATAGAAACAGAATGTCCCAATTATTTATATTTATGGATAAAAATAAAAAATGTAAAAGCTCTATTGTTATAGTCCCCATTCTTAAGGCTTGTTGGTGGTAGATCAACAGTCTTCATCACTCAGACATAGCAGAGTAGGATCCAACTCTCAACCTACATCTTGTGGGGTTTTTACAAGGTGTGGATGCCGTAACAGTCGCCATTTTACTATATTAGAATTTTGACCAAATTAATCGAAACCTCGAGAAATAATCACGTCCAGTTTTTTGCATGCAGTGGACTGACGAGAAAAGCTAATAATCGAAATGCTATAACTTGAAAAGCCTATCGAGATATATAACATTTCTTTATTATTAAGGTTGACTGTTAGAACAGTAAGTCAGTAAGAGACCAGACCAATTTTTTAAGTATAATTATTAGCAAAATCGAAGGAATTATCAATTTATAAGTTATTTTTTGATTTGCTGTGGAGAAATTACTTTGCTAGAAGATGTTAAAAATAAATTTGTTTCAAATCATTTTAAAAAATGGAAACACAGGGTGCAATGGCAGAAGATGATTTTGTTTTACATGACTATGATTATGACAATTTTGACTTATATTGCAAGTATACGGTTTTGCTATGGAACCATCGAATGACTCGGCTTATGAAGCCATCCATAGTTATCCACAAATGGTATATTGACACGTGTCCTGCAATATAACTCTCATAAATCTGCCATTACATACTTGGCCATTATATAACTCTCATAAATCTGCCATTACATACTTGGCCATGCAAACAATACTCAATAATAATTGAGTAATTGCTAGTCAGCTAGTGGATTAACTCAGGAGGTTTTGAATTTGAAATAGTTCTTAGTATCCTGTGGTAAACTTGCAAGCTGCGTCCACTCTACATAAAAAGATGAAATAGACAAAGTGAAGAGCATTAAAAGAAAAAAGTAAGTAAGGACAAGAGAAAACTCAAAACTTAATTGAACACCTGGGAAGTCAAAAATAACACAAAACAGCCCAATTTTTCTTTTCCTTATTTTTTATCTTTCAAGTTATCAAACAAAACAAACGTCCTCACCAGAATGTCTCAAGCCACTGAATTTTTCAGTTTAATTCAATCAACTTGTTTCAACACTCCTTCAAACCAAATCACCCTTTTTCAGATGGTAATCAACATTCATCCCAATAGTGTACAAAAATATTTAGAATGGTA